GGGGGGGGGGAGTTGGTGAAAAAAAGGGCCCATCCCTCACTGCTCAGCCCTCTGTCACCCCAGGGGGGTGAGCTGGCACCCCCTGGGCCACCAGCCCCTTCTGCAGGGCCAGTGTGGGGCTGGGGGGGATTTTCCCTGGCCTGGAGCAAAGCTTTTTCTCCCGGTGGGGGCCGGATCAGGGAATTCACCCCCTTTCTGGGGCCTGTTGGTGGACCCACGCACCCTGGAAATCCCCGGCTGAGGGGGATTTCGCACGCCCCGGGCCCACATGGGCTGTCCCACTCGGAAAGAGGAGGTTTCTCCTCAGAAAAAAAGACCAAACCAAAAAATCAACCAAAACCCTTCCCAGCCCAAACCCGGGCCACGGGCAGGTGCTCCCAGGGCCGGCAGCGAGGCCTGGCTGGGCTGACACCAACCTCCCACCAGCCACGGGCTCCGGAAGGGCTCAGCTCCCGGCCTCCGCGCTGCCGAATTTCCTGGGGTCCAGCTCAAGAATCTCCTGCTCGGTTTGTTTTATCCCTCCTCTATTCTGCTGGGCTACGCGAGACGGGATGAAAAAAAAAAATAAATCCCCTTTTTCCTCCTCTCGTATCTCTCCACCCTGTCGCTGCCTGTCCCCCCCAAACTTGGGGGCTTAATGGGGGCCGCCCGGGTTGTGATCTCTGCAGAAATTCCGTGTGGAGGAAGCAGCTCCCAGCCTGTCCTGCTGTCCCCTGTCCTGTCTCCTGTCCTGCTGTCCCCTATCCTGTCCCATCCTGCTGTCCCCTGCCCTGTCCCCTGTCCTGTCCCCCCGTCCCTGCCCGGAGCAGAGGGCTGCTGCCCTCTAGTGCTGGCTGCACCCCCAGAGCTGGGTGCTGGTCCCACCTGGAGATGTTCTGCTTCACCTTCTCCAGAAGGAAACGCACGGAGCCATCATCTCTCCGTCTCATCTTCTGGAAGCTGCAGGCAGCCACGGCCGGGAAGAGCTCACCGGGTGAAGAGTCCCACTTGGTGGGACGCGTGTCTGGCCGAGCCACCGGCTGGATCTAGCACCGAGATGCACAAAACACCATTATTTTTGTTCTTTCCACCCCGTTCTGGACAGACACCTCACCTTCACCACCAAACCAATGCAAATCATCCATACGTTAAAGGCCAGAGGGCCTCGAGATCACCACCTCCCACCAAAGGAGTCTTTCATCAAACCTTAAAATGCTGCAATTTGCCCTAAAATGATGCTAAAATCCCCCCGCTGGCTGGACATCCCGGTGCTGAGAGCCTGCTGCTGCTGCTGCTGCTCACCAAACCAGGCTGCAAAAATAATCCAGAAAAATCCACCTTCTCCCAGCAGCACAGACCCAGGCCAGTGTCCAGATTTTAGTCAAACCCAGTTTCAAAGCCTTTTTTTAAAGGAACCTTGTTAAAAAATTTATTAGCCTGGGGGCAAGGGAGCATGGAGAAGGGATCCTCACTACCACCAACACACAAATACTGAATTATTAATATTTTTTCCCTCTCCATTGACATGCTTTGAAATGCAACTGATTTCTAGAGACTGGAACATGGGGGGAGTGAAGAGTTATCAAAGATTGCTGACAGTTATTTTTAATAAATTCCTAAAAAATCAACTGGGAGGACTTGTTTACACCCATTTCACCAGGATGCTTTTGATGCCTGTTCAGATCAAGGTTCAGCCCTTTGCTCTGTAGCTGGGGAGGAGACAAGAAGCAAACAAGAGTTTTGAGTATATAAAAATAACTGTAACGTTTTATTATAAGAAAAAAAAATACAAAAAAAAAATACACACAATACATCAGGGACTTTGGTGCTGGACATCAGACCACACAGGATCTACTCAAAATCCACAGAAAAAGGAGTTACACACAGATATGTGCAGGATGAATACCGGAGAACCCACGGGCTGTTGCTCCCAGGGACACCAGCAGGGCCCCGAGCTCGGGGACCAGGCTCCAGGGGTGCTGCGGGGGTTCCTCAGCTCCCCAGAGCTTCCCTCTGCCTAACAAAATAATTTCAAGGTATATTTCCTTCCTTCCATCAGTCTTCAGCTCCCAAAGGCTACTGCTACTAAAAAAAATAATAATAAAATAACCTTTCTTGCGTGGATCCTTTCTTACAAGGATTCCAAGGGGGTTTATATACCCCTCACCCCACCCCGACATGGTTTGTGTGAAACCCCTGGGACTAAATAAATCTGATGAGCCCCCACCAGCCCAGTGCATGGCTGCGGGGTTACAGCAAGGAGCTGAGCAGGGCCTGGGCACAAGGACATTTCAAAGAAGCCCAAGTGGGTTTCTGTCTCTTTTCCATGAGGCAAGCCAGGGCCCGAGTTTTGACTGTGAAGGGAGGGGGTGACCTGGCAGGTGGTTATGTGCTGTGCATTACATTTTATAGGGTAGAGAAAGGGTTAAGTCAAGCCTAGAAAACCTACAATCAGCAACTGGGAAGTGGAGTTGGTTTTACTACACCTACTTGGGGTATCTTTTGTGTGATTTCACAAGGAATTGAAAAATAAATGCAATTTGCCCAGAGAAGCTGTGGCTGCCCCCTCCCTGGAAGGGTTCAAAGCCAGACTGGACGGGGCTTTGGGCAACCTGGGCTAGTGGAAGGTGTTCTAGTCCAACCTCCTGCCAGGGACAAGGTGATCTTTGAAGGTCCCTTCCAACCCAAACCAGGCTGATTCTGTATTACCTTGCTCAAGCCCCTCACTTCTAACAGCACATTTCACAGGAGAAGCTCACACCTTCTCTACAGCCAGCACACAGCAAAGGTTACCTTTCACCTGAACACTACGCTCTTATTCTCCCCCTATTTTTTCGTGGCTGCCAAAATACTGGATACATTCAGCAAGTTCCAGGCCCACAATGAACTGAAGTTTAGAAAATGCCTTGCTTTGAGCTGGGGGCACTCACTCAGCAGAGCCGACAGGACAGGCTTTAAGAAATACCACGCAGGAGCTAAGCTAAAACAAAGAGTATGTCTTCCGAATTTGCAGTTCCATCGCTTTTCAGGCCCAAAAGAGAGGCAGGTGCTGTGCAATGAACCCAGCGAGCGGTGGAGCATCTTGGGGGTACTGAGATCTCGGGCTGCAGCACGGGGTAGAGCTGGACACCATGGGCTGTCCCACACCACAGTCAGGCCTCAAAACGCGCAGCAGGATCAGAGAGCTGAAAATCAACTTCTCTGAAAAGAAATGAAAACTTTAAAAGATGCATTTGAGTGGAGATGATGGGTGATAAACCCCAATGAGCATGAACTGAAGCCATTTGCCACCCCTTGGTAAGTGGGTTCAGTTCTGGGCCCCTCACCCCAAAAAGGCCATTGAATGACTCGAGCGTGGCCAGAGAAGGGCAACGGAGCTGGGGCAGGGTCTGGAGCACAGGTCTGCTGGGGAGCGGCTGGGGGAACTGGGGGGGTTCAGTCTGGAGAAGAGGAGGCTGAGGGGAGACCTCCTGGCCCTCTGCAACTCCCTGCAGTGCTGGGTTAAGGTTGGACTTGATCTTAAAGGTCCTTTCTAACCTAAATGATTCTGTGATTCTATGAATTAGTGACTGCTGAAAGTATTAGGCAGGATCTTCAGAACATTATAAAAATCCCCAGTTCTGTCTAAAAGCAGTCCCAGCCAGGTCATTTTAAGACGAGCTCTTTTTGAAACTCTTTCACACTACCCAGAAATGCACAGGTCTGACTACAGCCTTCCTAGCTTAGGAATTTGAACAGAACTGTTGATTTTTTGTTGTGAGATCCTTATACTGGCCAGAAGCAGTGATCTTCAAGTACCATCTCCTCTCTCTTCCCCCAACTCCGGCCTTTGACTCATTCAAAAGCCTGAATGGCTCTCTACTGTTAATCTGAAAAAAGTAAAATAAATAAATTTAGAAACCCATAACCTACACTAATTCTGAAAGAAAGGAAAAGTCTAACCAAGTAGTGATATTCTGGATTTAAATCAGACTTCCAAAGTTTTCAATCCTAAAATTGTTCTTCTGTGGCAAGTGATGAACTCTGATGCTTTCTTGTTTTCCAGCAAGAAAGTAATTTTCATTCCCTCCTTTTACTGAGGAATCAGGAACAAGATCCATGCCTTCACTCACATCCTACGGATTTTAATTGTCCCCACATTCATTAATGCCTTCCCCCAACTATCTGGCAGCCTCTCTGCATTCAGCTGTGTACTCTAGTGAGGACCTGCAGATGAATTATGAGCAGGACTGTTTATAACACGTTTTGGTTTCAGCAGTAAATGAAGGTAAATGGTGAGCAACAGGAGCCAGGAGGATGCTTCGCCCCGTCAGCTCATCCCAAGGGAACAGGCTCGGGATGGAGTGGAGAGCATGTCTCTGCTCTTTCATAGCCCTGTACAATGCTGCTTGACATGAATGCAACAAGGCAGCACTGTAAAGAAGCTGAAAGCACAAAGATACAGGAACAGCCGTGGAAGTGGTGGGGCCTGACCAAGAAATCGAGAGCAACCCATAAAACCCACGTAGGAAAGGTGTGAAGCCTCTACACCCCTCCACCCCACCTCTCCTTCTCTCTCAGCGGTTCCAAGGGTTGTTTATCACCCACTGACTGCTCATCAAACCACCTCAGACAAACTAACTCCTGACCAAGCAAAGGATCCAACAGGACCCACCGCCAACCCCTAATTAGCAACAATCTGACTCAAACCACCCTCAAACCGCCAAGAGGCGAGCAAGGAGAAAATTTACTGAAGAATCCAAAACGAGCAGATTACAAGTTACTGAACGTCCAAAAAGATGAGTAGGAACACCCATCTGCAGAAAGAGATACGGCAGCACATGAGTGATGCTGCAGATACGAAGCAATAAAACAGATTTCCCTTGAGTACCTCGTTAAGTGCACACATCCGTGCGATGGAGCCAATGTTATTAGTGATGGTTATTAAAGTTGCCTTTGCAAGGTCCTCTTTGCTGACAGATTCCCGCTTCTCCTTGCTCATCATGTTTCCGAAGCTGTAAAGACAGTTTTCAGGTTAAAGGTCCATTTGCATCAGAATTCCAGGAAAAGAAAAAAAACAACGGAATTGCAAATTTAATCAAAGTGACTCATCTTGAAGTATTTCTAGCTTTAAAAAGCTTTTCCAGCAGTAATTTAGATCTGGTAAAACAGAACAGCAGAAGGAATGGGAGCTCTCTTATGAGATGTAAATCCATTTTTTCACCCTGGCAGAATCTCTCATGAAAATAAAAATCAGTCAAGTCATTACCTGGACGCTACAGCCCAGCCTGGCAACCCGAATCGCTCATAGTCTCCCCCGTAAATGTCCCGCACCAGTTTGTCCACTTTGGTACTGTCTCCATGGGACGCCATCTCTAGGGCCTCTTCAAAGGTGGAGCAACCGGTAAGAAGGCAGCAGAGACCAAAAAAGGTTCCTCCTCCAAGGCTGCAACATAAACCAAAATGAAAGTCACCCGTCTTGCTTCTAAAGAGACAGAAAGAAAATGGCTCGTTCCACTGAAAGCTCTGATTACTCAGCCACTCGTCTGAGTGAGCTCAGGTTGTCCCATTTCTTCAGCTTCTTCTCTTTTCAGTGACAGCAATCTTGGAAGAGCAGCAGTTTTCTTTAAATCTGTTGCTTCCAAATAACTTACAGCCTGTAAGGAACTCCATGCCCTCACAGCCTTCTGCAGAGGGCGTGTTTCTAAATGAGAAATTAATTTGCTTATTTTACAATATCCACCTCCTTCCCAGCACTCAGAGAAGCTGATGTTAAAATAAACCCTAGTCCCGAGGGGTTACTGGAGTAGTAGAGCACAGCTATTCAAAACTTATGGGAACAAAAAGCCCAACACTGCTCTGTCCTGTTCACTTAGTCACTGTGTATAAATGCCATGTATAATAAGAGTAAGATCTGTGCTGTGAAGTGTGGGGTGGTTTTGGTTTTTTTTTTGTTATTGCTAACTTTCAAGCAATCCTTAAAGCCACGGAGATCTTTGGCTTTGCCTGGCAACAAGAGCCACATCTTCACAAAGGGGAGGTGGAGCAGTTCAGCAACTGTCTGGGGAATTACTGCCCAGCCAGCATCCCTTCCTCCAAAATAAGGGAACTTCTGGAAGTCAGGGTGCAAATCTCTGATCCTAGAATCGACACCAACAGTTGCTAACATGATTATTAGGAACATATCTGGGATAATCCCAAACTATGGGATCCCTGTGATGGCAAATAAACCACTTAAATTCCTGAAGCAACCGAAAAAACAGCTTCTAAAGAGACTGGTTGCAGTAAATAGACCAAAACATGAAATTGAGATTTTCTCTTCCAAGAGGGATCATTGCTGGCAGAGATAAGGGACTGCAGTAAAAGCAGCAGCTCAGTCATTCAACTCACCACCTTTACTGCAGCTTGTCCCTGAAAATGTCATCCACAATGCAGAAATAAAATCCAGACTCTTAAAATAAAACTCAATGTACCCCCACACAGCACTCACCTGGTGCCCGTTACCCGTTTATAGTTTTCTTTTGAATACACAGCCAAAATGCTGACCCCTGAGCCAATGTTCACCAAAAGGAGAGGATACGGATTCTCCAAGTTGAATGGGAGCTTCTGACATCTTTCAGCATCCGTCGGGTTTTCAAAATAGTAGCACTCTGAATGTCCATTGAATCCCACTGAATCAATGTACAAAACTCCTTTAATAAGGCAATCGAGTTCATCTAGCTTACAAAGCTGAAGGTCACCCATCTGGCAGGGGAAAAAAAAAAAAAAAAAAGAAAGAATATTCAAGAAGTAGCTAAGGATCCGAAGTGTTTATGCTCGGGGCTAGAAAAATGCATTCACTGCCAACTAAATTCAGCTATCTCCAGTACTCCTGCAGTGGCTGAGAAAGAAGTACAGATCACAGGAGGGCTCCATCTTCCTCCATGCACAGGGACTAACCACCCCAGCCCTCAAGTGTGCAGACATGGAAGAGGGGGGAAATGAACAACCGGATCCACAGATGGACACCGGGAGAATCCCAGCTACTTCCAAGGGCCTGATTTAGGCCCTGATTCTGAGGGACTAGCCTGAAAAGCAAGGGAAAATGAGAAGGAACTGAACTGTGTGACCAAAAAAAAAAAAAAAACAACAGCCCAAAACCCATCCGGAAAACCAGCAAAAAAACGGGAGTTATGAAATTGTTTCCCCTTGCGTTACTACCTCAACTGCACAAAAAGCCTCATTATTTGGTGCGTTTTTTTCAAGCCCTGGTTAAACAAAGTATTTATCACACATTTTTTGACCTACGAACAAGAGTCAAATTTATCATGAAGCCACATGATGATGTCAAATCCCAACTACTAACCTCCCTTCTGTTAAACTCACCACCAAGTTTGACCAAACCTCAATCAGCTCATGCACATGTGTGTTAGAAATGAAACCACGTGAGCAAAAGAACAATAAAACAAATATTAAGCGTGTGAAAGACAGCAATGAGTAAAAAAACCCCACAACACTGAGATCAGCATAATCAGAGATTAATAAAAGAGTCTTGTAAGAGCACACACCATGGAAGCGAGTGAGTGATTTTAGAGGAATGTTACATGCACTTTCAGACAGAAAGGAGCCTGATTTGGAGATGTGAACTTGACTCCACATGCTGTTTCCTGCACCAAGTTTAATTTGAGTTAGGTACACTTTTCCAAAGCTAAAGATTCAGAGAAGTTTTAGAGTCTGCAGAGAAAGCGCTCTAGTTTTACGCTCTAAGAAAATTTCACTACCAGATCCTAATCATATAGAAGCCAAAAATGCATACTGTGCGAAAGTCCTGCTCAAATTTGTACGCTCCACCTCCCGTGGCACATAAGGTAGTATGGAGGCTTGAGAAGTGTTTTTCGCTTCCCATTTGAATAAAAGCAGGCATGTCATGAGTAGGAAAGCGTATAAAGTGCAGATTGCCTTTACGTCCACACAGGGTAAGGTCCTTTAGTTCAAGGTGCACATCCCGAATGCCTGTAGATCCATAGGCTACATTTGATGTCAGGTATTTGCGGATGCTTTTGAGATTTTCCACTTCCTCCTCCTCTTCTTCAGCAGTGATGTCCTTTGGTTCAAAATAAACAAGTTTGACCAAGGTTCCTCCAATATCCAAGCCAAACCAAGGAAAGACTAAAGAAAGGAGAAAAAAGAAAAAAAAAGAGAAAAAAAAAAAGAAAGGGGGTGTGATACCACCAGTGAAATTGTTACAAACCAAATTAATTCATGCAGTTGCCTAGGGACTGCAAAATGCAGGCCCATTTATCTGTTCATTTTCAAGCGGAAAACAAAGAAGGAAATTCTAGCAGTCAGGTCTGTCTTTGACAAGTGTGGCTGAGACTCCTCTGTACGCGAGCAAAAAGCCCCCTTTTGAGATACCTCGTGCTGAGGAGCTCCCAACATCTGCGATGCCATGCTCAGGATGCTCCAACCACCACCCCACAGCACTGGAGATGCACACAGCGACAGTGTCCGTACACCCGCCAGATACTGCTGCAATTTTAATCTCCAGCTATTTCTTTTATAAAGTTCTGATCCAGAGCCAGAGCTAAGGATAATACCAGTGCTTTTACATCAAAGGGATGTACAAACGTTAACTAATTACAACACATAACTGAGGTAGACAAGTAACCTAAGATGCCCCAGGGAGACAAAAACAAATGTCTAATTGGATTATTTTATTAGGCAAATTCCCCCATGGTACAAAATATGCATTAGTGTCAGGCCCAGCAACATTTACAGCTGTATTAGATAATGAGCTTCTTGGAAAAGATCAAGAGAAAACCCCGATCAGATGGAATCTGCGATTAGAGCTGAGAACTGGAACAGATTAATATTACTATTAATGAGCTAAAGGATAGGCTAGAGCTAACAAGATGCACGGGCTCCAGAGCAAAGACAAAAATGTAGCCACATGTTATGGCTCATGGCAGCAGGATTAAACCCTTACATTTTTTTTCCAAAAGGGAAAGAAAAAAAAAAAAAAAGGAATGTTCAGAAAATAACGCTGAATGTAGCACAGATACTACTGACATTCCCCTGCAAAGAAGAATCTCAGGTTTCAGTAAAATTCCCAAGTCAGACACAGGCATGATAACATGCTACTGTTATTCTTGCAAAATATGTTTGCTTATCTGCAGATAAGCGTGCAACACCAAGAGGGCCTCGTGCCTACTGGCAATGGAACGGTGCTCGAGCTGCAGAGCACTAAACCCTCAGAGAGCAATACCCACATACCCAGAGGCAGCACTTCAGGAAGCTGAACAGCAAAGAAAACAACTCAGGGGCAGCATGGGGAACTCGCTCCCAAAGAAAACGATCTTTGAAAAGCCACAAAGCCAACAGGCAAGAACATGTCTGAAGGTGATCTATCCCCTCCTCGGCAGGTTAACGTGGTTGCTGTGCAGAGCAGAGGTAAAAACAGGTCCTTTTGGAGCATCATAGTTCCCTACGTTATTCTTAAACCATTGAGTTATTTTTATATATTTACATAAAGGCCACCCCCAACCATCACCAAAAGAAAACTTGAAAGAAGATGCAAATTCTATTTTAGGAGGCACATCCAAATCCCAATCACCCTCTATTTCTAATGCATCTACTTCAAACAAGAGCAGATATAAAAATAACTGTTGATGAATGAGAGAGAGAGAAAAAAAACCTGAATCATGGTCCAACAGAGGCAGAAAGCAGAAGTCCAAGGACTTTTTTCGGGACAATTTCTCCTTCTGTACTCCAGAATTCAGAATTACAAACTCAATAAGCATTTCAGGACGGAAAGTCTACCCAACGCTTTACCTGGAGAAAAGTTCTGCGTATGTATCTTATTTCAAGCCCCCCCTCAGGAAAACCTGACTATAGCTAAATTAAACAGTGAAGTTCCTTCTCAAGACATTAGCTGCCTGAGCCTCATCATGTAATGCCAGGAGAACCTTATTCCCAGAGACACCAGAGCAGGAGGAGCACCCTCATGGGAAGGGGAACCCGAGACCCCAGAATACAAGCAAAGAGAAAGACAGGACAAACCCCAGGATTTCAGTACCCCCAGAACAAAGGGCCTTGTTGTGAAGGAGTGTGGCAACAGCAGCTGAGCTGGCAACCAGAAGTGACCAAGACCACGACCACTTCAAGAGGGAGATGGCTACCCTACTTCTGCACGGGCAGCAAACACCAAGCGTCTGCCTGTTCACTCACCTTCCTGACCCCTTAAGCCCAAGTTCACAAGCCCCCTAATGCCATATTAAAGCCACCTCCAATATGGCACATACATCCATAAGTCAGCAGTCCCCATATAGATGGCAGAATAGGAAAACACCCCCAGAGTGGTTTGTCTTTCTTTGAAGCAAAGCCCTAGATTTATCAACTACCACAGAAAAATGCTTTGAAGAAGGATCGTGCCGTGCTATTGAGAGAAGCAACAAAAATACCATCAGTCACACAGGTAAAAATAGGGCATTGGCAGCCAAACCAGAGCCTTCTGCTGCTGCTCCAGTCCCTCCAGTGACTGGAACTGGTAAACACCGCCCTATTTAAATAGTCAGTTCATGTTCAGGATCACTAAAACCAGTTTCCCGATGTCCACTGTGCTTTTCAATACTGCTTAAACTCTGCTGGAAAACTAACAAGCTCCACACAAGCAAAGAAATGGGAAGAGGCTTCTCACATTACTCAGCCAAGTCTTCTCCTGCCTGTTGTGGTCACTGACATCCTGGACTCCCCTTTTCATTAATTTCCCACTCTTAAAACCACGCAGCTCTTTTGTCATCTCTGCTCTGATGAAGGGATCAGTTCCAGAAAGCTCCTGTCTTGCTGCTGGGAAACCTCCTTTTGATTTCTGGAATATATTTCTTCCTGTTAGGACAGGCAATTTTTTTTCTGCATTATGAAACCTGAATTTTATTTAAAAAAAAAAAAAAAAGCATTCCCACCCTCTCAGAGAGAGCAATCCTCTCTTGTCATGGTTTAAGTCCAGCTGGCAGCTCAGCCCCACCCACCGTTCACTCACTCCCCACCCCTGGTGGGATGAGGGAGAGAATCGGAAGAATAAAAGTGAGAAAACTCGTGGGTTGAGATAAAGACAGCTTAATAGGGAATGCAAAAGTGGAGCACGCAAGCAAAGCAAAACAAGGAATTCATTCCTCACTTCCCAGCGGCAGGCAGGGTTCAGCCATCTCCAGGAAAGCCGGGCTCCATCACATGTAACGGTGACTTGGGCAGACAAACGCCATCACTCTGGATGTCTCCCCATCCCTCCTTCTTCCCCCAGGTTTATGTGCTGAGCACAATGCCATACGGGCTGGGGTACCCCTTGGGTCAGTTGGGGGTCAGCTGTCCCAGCTGTGTCCCCCCCAATTCTTTGTGCCCCCCCAGACTCCTCACTGGTGGGGTGAGAGGCAGGAAAGGCATTGACTCTGTGCAAGCCCTGCTCAGCAGTAACAAAACCATCCCCGTGTTATCAACCCTGTTCAGCACAAATCCAAAACAGAGCCTGTAGCAGGTACTGTGAAGAAAATTAATTCTATTCCAGACAAAACTAGAAAAATCTCCCCAACCTCACTTTGCCAGGCTACACAAGGGTAAAACCAGAGAGAGCACAGGGTGGGGTCCTGGGGCTGCCCTCCTCAGGGTGCAGCAGAAGAGCATCCAAAAACCAAGGCACGGTGCCCTGCTGAAGCCACGTAACTGAAAACACCATACGGGCTCCTTCATCACAAGGTAATGGGCTTCCACTTCAGAGCTGACCCTCAGCTGGTGGTACACTCATTTGCTCAGCAGAATAACACTAGCTCGTTTTAAAGATGGTTGTGAAGTTCACACACCAAACCCCCACATTAAGCCACATAAACTTCCCGAATTTTAGGGCATGAGAATCACCAACTTGGTCTATCAGTTTAGGAAGCTTCCCTAATCACAAGAAAATAATATAGCAGCTCCTTAGAAACTTCATCCCAGCTCACTCTCAGTGCCCTCAAGAGCATCAATCTTTTAATATATATAGAATTACTTTTTATTCAGGTATTACAGAATCCCAGAATCATCCTGGTTGGAAAAGCCCTTGCAGCTCCTCCAGTTCAACCATGACCCTCCCCCTGACCGTTCCCAACTCCCCCAGATCCCTCAGCGCTGGCTCAGCCCGACTCTTCAACCCCTCCAGGGATCCCGGGGACTCCCCCCTGCCCTGGGCAGCCCATTCCAACGCCCAACAGCCCCTTCTGCACAGAAATCCTTCCTCAGAGCCAGCCTGACCCTGCCCTGGGCAGCTTGAGGCCATTCCCTCGGGGCCTGGCGCTGGCTCCTTGGCTCCAGAGACTCATCCCCCCTCTCTGCCCCCTCCTGGCAGGGAGTTGCAGAGGGCCAGGAGGTCTCCCCTCAGCCTCCTCTTCTCCAGACTGAACCCCCCCAGTTCCCCCAGCCGCTCCCCAGCAGACCTGTGCTCCAGACCCTGCCCCAGCTCCGTTGCCCTTCTCTGGCCACGCTCGAGTCATTCAATGGCCTTTTTGGGGTGAGGGGCCCAGAACTGAACCCCCTCAGCGAGGGGCGGCCTCCCCAGTGCCGAGCCCAGGGCTCAGATCCCTTCCCTGTCCCTGCTGGCCACGCCAGGGCTGACACCAGCCAGGATGCCGTTGCCCTCCTTGGCCCCCTGGGCACACTCTGGCTCATTCTCTCCCCCCCAGTCCCTCTCTGACCGGCAGCTCTCCAGCCACTCCTCCCCAGGCCTGTAGCCCCCCTGGGGGTTGTTGTGGCCCAAGGGCAGCCCCCGGCATTTGACCTCAGTGAAACTCACACAGTTACAGTGTTGTTAAGTTGCCACTGAACTAGCAGAACATTAAGCATGGGGTTAAACCACACCAGTTATCCACTGTCCGGCACATCAGTGGCTAATGGTGAAACAGGAATGATGCCTGCAGAGCTGGGTGTAAACTGCAGGCAGGTTGGGCTCAAGCCTTACTAGTCTTCACTCAGTGCTGGCCCTGCTAAATCCCAGCTGGCCCCAAAAAGAGCATCCAAGCCCCCGTGCAGGGACACAGCCTCAGAC